GATGGGGCAATGTACTGTAAAATCTTGGGTGAAAACCTTCTTCCCTCAGCCAGGGCATTGGAAATGGGTCGTGGATGGGTATTCCAGCATGACAATGACCCAAAACACACGGCCAAGGCAACAAAGGAGTGGCTCAAGAAGAAGCACATTAAGGTCCTGGAGTGGCCTAGCCAGTCTCCAGACCTTAATCCGATTGAAAATCTGTGGTGGGAGCTGAAAGTTCGAGTTGCCAAACGTCAGCCACCAAATCTTAATGACTTGGAGAGGATCTGCCAAGAGGAGTGGGCCAAAATCCCTCCTGAGATGTGTGCAAACCTGGTGGCCAACTACAGGAAACGTTTGACCTCTGTGATTGCCAACAAGGGATTTGCCACCAAGTACTAAGTCATGTTTTGTGAAGGGGATCAAATACTTATTTCCCTCATGAACATGCAAATCAGTACATCATTTGTTAGACATGCATTTCTTTTTAATTTTTTGTTGCTTTTCTGTCTCTGTGTTACAATACACCGAACATTCAATTTTTAGACTGATCATTTCTTTGTGAGTGGGCAAACCTTCAAAATCAGCAGGGGATCAAATACTTATTTCCTTCACTGTACATATGAATGTAAACATATGCGTTGAGGGTGCCTATGCATGAAAAAATATAGTTTGTGCTACGTGTTGCATATCGTCGTGCACACTGGAGTGAAAGATATAATTCTAGGCCTATTATTTATGGTTTAACTCTAAACTGAGACCTGTAGGGGCTTTTATATTTTACCCAAAAAATTGGGTTATATGTGGTGTGTTTGTGCATCCTAAAATTAACTTGAGTGTATTTGTTACTGTAATTCTACACTTGTTAAACCATTGCACTAATACTTTATGCCATACAATATTGGTGCTATGACCATTTTATTCTCCAGGATGTCTTCTTTCAGAAAAATTTTATTGTTTTGTGGGTTTTATGTAATCTTCAGGCCTAAAATGATTTTTTTAAACATATGTGAAAAAATGGCTTTGGCTGTGAAAGGATTAAAAGAATCTGCATACCCAATAAGTGAATAAAATAGCTGCTGAAAGTGTTTTAAAAAATTTAGGATTAATATCACTTTAATCGCTTACCGAATAGACCGTTCTATAAACCCTCGGCTCATCCATTTAGGTGAAGCTATGTTTGTACTTTGCATGATTTTTTTCTATCCACAGCCCAATTTTTTTCTTTTTATGAGCAGTAGAAAAGAGCTCTGCTCTGAGAAATAATAGATAACAATCCGCAGCTCTCTTTTTTTTACCATATCTCTTGCTGTATTCTTGGTGATGGATCTCTCAGGAACTGCCCAGGATGTAGCCCCAGGCAGACAGCGTGTTCTGAGATATTTTTCTGTAAAAAGTCATGTTTCAGTCAATTTGTTTTACTACCTGACGTGGTGTGAAGGCGTATTTCATCTTCCTAAAAGAGAAGAGAGATTTTCTTGGGTTGCTGTTTGCTCTATTCCATGGGATCTGGAAATATTCTGGAAATAAGAGGGTGTGGGGGTTGCTGATACAGAGACCTTCATTTGATCATATAATGGGTGCCCACACCAATTATATGATTCATTATATGGTTACCTGTAATGGGTGATCATAGAATTAATGCCTACACCAATTGTATGATTAAATATAATGGGTGCCTAGAATGGGTGATCATTATAAAGGCTGCCTACACCCAGTGTATGAATAAATATAATGAGTGTCTCCAATGGGCGATCATATAATGAATGCCTACACCAACTATACGATTAAATCTAATGGGTGTCTGTAATGGGTGATCATATAATGTGTGTCTAGAAAGGGTGATCATTACAAAGGGCGACTTCACCCACGGTATGAATAAATGTAATGGGTGTCTCCAATGGGCGATCATATAATGAATGCCTACACCAACTATATGATAAAATATAATGGGTGATCATATAATGAATGCCTACAGCAATTATATGATTAAATATAATGAATGCCTACACCCACTGTATGAATAAATATAATGGGTGCCTGCAATGGGCGATCAGATAATGAATGCCACACCAACTATATGAGTAAATATAATGGGTGTCCCCAATGGGCGATCATATAATGAATGCCTACACCAACTATACGATTGAATCTAATGGGTGTCTGTAATGGGTCATCATAGAATTAATTCTTACACCAAATATATGATTAAATATAATGGGTGCCTAGAATGGGTGATCATTATAAAGGGTGCCTACACCCACTGTATGAATAAATATAATGGGTGTCTCCAATCGGCGATCATATAATGAATGCCTACAACAACTATACGATTAAATCTAATGGGTGTCTGTAATGGTTGATCATATAATGTGTGCCTAGAAAGGGTGATCATTACAAAGGGCGACTTCACCCATGCTATGAATAAATGTAATGGGTGTCTCCAATGGGCGATCATATAATGAATGGCTACACCAACTATATGATTAAATATAATGAATGCCTACACCCACTGTATGAATAAATATAATGGGTGCCTGCAATGGGCGATCATATAATGAATTCCACACCAACTATATGATTAAATATAATGGGTGTCCCCGATGGGCGATCGAATAATGAATGCCTACATCAACTATGTGATTAAATTTAATGGGTGCCTATAATGGATAATCATATAATGACTGCCAACACCAATGATTATGGGCAGCACAGTGGCTAAGTGGTTAGCACTTCTGCCTGGCAGCACTAGGGTCGCTGGTTCAAACCCCAACCATGCTGTTACCTGCCTGGAGTATACATGTTCTTGTGCCTCCAAAGACATGCTGGTAGGTATATTGGTTCCTGTCTAACATTGGCCCTCAAATGTATGAAAGTGGGTTGGGGACTTTGGATTGTAAGCTCCTTGAGGGCAGGGACTGATATAAATATACAATATATATGTGTAAAGCACTGCAAAATTTGACAGCACTATATAAATACCTGTAATAAATAATGGGTGCCTTCAGACATTATATGATTAAATATAATGGGTGATCATATAATTAATGCCTACACCAGTTGTATAATGGAGGATCATATAATCAATGCCTGCACCAGGGGTCTCTAAACTTTTCAAACAAATGACCAGTTTACTGTCCTTCAGGCTTTAGGGGGGCCAGATTGTGGCCAGTGGGGGTAGAAAATGTCCTGGGTCCAGCATTGGTGAGAATAAACATTGCCTCAGGGTTGATGGTCAGTTACATAATGCCTGTGGTCAGTAGGAGGAGGAGTAATCCCATAGCTCCCAACTGTCCCTGATTTCGAGGGACTGTCTCTCATTTGGAACAAAGTCCTTCTGTCCCTTCTTCCCCCTCATTTCCCCCTCATTTTTGGTCTGATCTATATAATTGTATATTAAATGCACTATTTATCTATCAAAAAGTGCTTTACAGTGCTAAACCTTTTATCCAATTTCTAAATTACTGCATTTGAAAAAGCCAATATAAAAAATAATGGTAAAAATAAAGCACTTGTGGGTTTAACTAATCTTCTTTTTATATAATTCCCCTTTAAGGGGGGTGTGGCAGAGGGAATGTCCTATACTTATACACTTTTGCTAATAGGTGTCCCTCATTCCCATCTCAGAATGTTGGGAGGTATTTAATCCATCATCATTTGTTTTACTGGGAGGAATAGTGCCCCGTCATTGGTATCTGTGGGAGAAATATTGCCCAATCATTGATATCAGTGGGAGAAATATTGCCAATCAGTGGGAGAAATATTGCCCAATCATTGGAGTCAGCGGGAGGAATAGTGCCCCGTCATTGGTGTCAGTGGGAGGAATTGTGCCCCATCATTGGTGTCAGTGGAAGGAATAGTGCCCCATCATTGGTGTCAGTGGGAAAAATATCGCTCAATCACTAGTATCAGTGAGAGGAATAGTGTCCCATCATTGGTATTAGTGGGAAAAATATTGCCCAATCATTGGTATCAGTGGGAGGAAGAGTGCCCTGTTGTTGGTGTCAGTGGGAGGAATAGTGCCCCATCATTGGTGTCAGTGGGAGAAATAGTGCCCCATCATTGGTGTCAGTGGGAGGAATAGTGCCCCATTCAGTGGGAGAAATTGTGCCCCATGACTAGTGTCAGTGGCAAGAATTATGCCCTACTGCTGGTGTCAGTGGGAGGAATAGCACTAAAAAATTCATTCTTCTTGCAGTGTACGATTCTGTGGGAAAACCAGGAAGCAACTTACTGATGGGAAATGTGGACAGACTGGGGTCGTATAGTGAGTGCCTGTCAGTAGAAGATCCTCAAGGGAACTTTAAGGGAGAATACTGCAAACTACACGTGGAGCAGGTATGGTTGTTCTTGCTTGATAACAGTTACACTGGATTTTTATGATGATAGGACAAGGCAGTGTAGACTAATTACTGCAAGATCCAATCCATAAAGCCTGGTGATCCAGCCAGCAACACACTCCCTGTCTTAGGTTTGTCTCCGATTAGGATGGAGGAACAATGGAGACACCTTTGGAGAGCAGTATTGTTAATCTGTGGAGAGGGTAGTGTTTGATGCACTAGCAGATTTATATGTATATGCATTCCAACCACTTGCCCTCCAGAGGATTTACCCCCTTCCTGACCAGGCCATTTTTTGTGTTACGGCGCTACATTACTTTAACTGACAATTGCACGGTTATGCAACGCTGCTCCCAAATGAAATTTATGTCCTTTTTTCCCACTAATGGAGTTTCTTTCGATGGTATTTGATCACCTCAGAAATTTTTATTTTTTTGCGCTATAAGCACAAAAAGACCGACAATTTTGAGAAAAAAAAAAACAATATTTTTGACTTTTTGCTATTAACCACCTCCCCGCCATCCCGCCCGCCATATAGTAATATGACGGACGCAAGGTGGTTCTCTCGTTCTGGGAGGACGTCATATGACGTCCTCCCATTCTCACCGCGCATGCAAGGCTCAGGGAGTGTGCAGCACGGCGATCGGCGGTGCGCTGTGTCCCTCGGACACAGCAGATCACCGATCATGGAAAGAGCCGAAGATGTCAGCTTGGTCATGTGATCAGCTGTGTCCAATCACAGCTGATCACATGTAAACAGGGAAATGCCGGCTGACAGCTCGAGAGGAGAGGAGAGCCGGCTTTCCAGCGGAGGGGAAGCGCTGATGATCAGTGTGCCCCAGTGTAGCCCTAGCAGTGCCACCTGTCAGTGTCCATCAATGCCTTATGTCAGTGCTCATCAGTGCCTCGTGCCAGTGCCCATCAGTGCCACATCAATGCCACATATCAGTGCCTACCAGTGCACATCAATGCCACATATCAGTGCCCATCTGAGCTGCCTTTCAGTGTCACCCATCAGTGCCAGTCAGTGCCGCCTATCAGTGCTGCCTATCAGTGCCATATATCAGTGCCATGTATCAGTGCTGCCTTTCAGAGCCCATCAGTGATGCCTGTCAATGCCCATCAGTGCCACCTACCAGTGCCTCCTCATCAGTGCCCATCAGTGCCACCTATCAGTGTCCATCAGTGCAGCCTATCAGTGCCCATCAGTGCAGCCTCATTAGCGCATATCAGTGAAGGAGAAAAATCACTTATTTACAAAAATGTTTAACAAAAACTAAGAAAAAACTTTTTTTTTTCAGTGGTTTTTGGTTTGTTTAAGAAAAAAATAAAAACCCAGAGGTGATTTAAATACCACCAAAATAAAGCTCTATCTGTCACAAAACAAATGATAAAAATTTCATATGGGTACAGTGTTGCATGACCGCGCAATTTTCATTCAAAGTGCAACAGCGCTGAAAGCTAGAAATTTGCCTGGGCAGGAAGGGGGTATAAGTGCCCTGTAGGCGAGGGGTTAAACATGTCCAGTATAAAAATTAAAAAATCAAATTTCGTCATAAATTTAAAACAAAATGTATTCTGCTCCGTCTTTACTAAAAAAAATCCCAATACGTGTAAACTAATTGGTTTACGTGAAAGTTATAGCATCTACAAATGGCAGTATATATATACTAGGATTTTAATTTGTTTTTTATACTAGTAATGGCAGCAGTCAGCGACTTATAGTGGGACTGCGGCGGGCATTCTGACACTGGGGGAGAACCTAGCGGCCACTGACATCTCCAGTGACACTAATATAGTACTCAGTGCTAATAAAAAGCACTGACACTGTACTAATGTACTACTGTACTAATGTGTGCTGTTTCACTGTGTAAGCACATTGCTTTGTATGGCTCTGCTGCGCAGAGCCATACAAAGCAGTGTGCAGGAGTTGACAGGGAGAGATCTGTATTGTTTACATACAGACCTCTCCACTGTCAGTGATACTCGGCGATTGCCGGGTGTTGGTGGGGAATCACCGGCAGGGACTCAGTGATCGACAGTTGAGGCCGCCAATGGCGGCGTGGGTAGGGTGCCCTTGCCCCCTACCCAGAAATGCAAAATCATGTATATATACGTGATTTTGCACAACCCTGCCACCCTGTTGCAGTATTTCTGCTTTAGGGCAGCGGGAAGCAGCTACAATCTATTCCAAACAGGCAGGCACTTTGTTCTATTGTTGAAGAGTCTCTTCTGCTATGCAGAGCAATAGAAAGCAGTGTGCTGGTGCTGATAGCGGGGAGATCTGTATTGTTTACATACAGACCTCTCCCCCGTCAGTGTTCCTTGGTGATTGCCAGGTGCTGGCGGGGGATCTCCGGCTGTAATCGACAGCTGAGGCCGCCAATGACAGTGCGGGTAGGGCACACACGCCCCCCTACTCAGAAATACAAAATCACACATATATATATATATATATATATATATATATATAATGTGATTTTGCGCAGACCTGCCGCCTTGTAGCAGTAGTTCTTCTATAGGGAAGTCGGAATCAGCAATCAAGGGCTATACTCCAACTGGCTTCTGTCTCCTAGTAACTTCCACCAGTATTTGGACTTGAACCTACTGTATGTTCAACCACCCCACTCCATGTAGGATGTACTCATGCAAAAGAAACAAAACAAATAGTTCCCTCCAATACGTTTCAAAAGCAATTTATTAAGACTCCAAAACGGGACAATCACAAACATCTGTTGCACAAATAACAAATAGCATAAATGAACAGCCTTCTCGCCACAGGGTCTCCACAATGCCCAGTGTCATCTGCTGGCTTGACTCCATTCCTATATGCGTTACACCTCCAAAGACTTCCTCAGTAGGTCCTACCACATATTTTATGGGACCGTTGGAGAGGTCTGTGTGTTTTTTTTGTTTTTGTTTTTTAGAAAAAAAAAAGATGGCAATTTTGCTCACAATTTAAACTGTATCTTTTTTCCCCCTTTGTAAATGTAATTTTTTGCTTTACCACATCTTACAGCAAGAATGGAAAAAAAAAAATACATAGAGTCCCCCCCAAACTACATTCTGTACCCTCTGAGTCTGGTATGGATTTTAAGGGAGTACTTCACACAAAAATAAAAAATGCATGAGGTCCCCCAGGACCTAAAGGATCTGGTGTGGATTTTCAAGGGAGACTCCATTCGAAAAAAAAAAACAAATATGGGCAGCACAGTGGCTAAATGGTTAGCACTTCCACCTGGCAGTACTAGGGTCGTCGTTTCGAATCCCAACTACAGCACTACCTGCTTGGAGTTTGCATGTTCTCCCTGTGCCTGCGCGGGTTTCCTCTGGGTACCCCGGTTTCCTCCTACACTCCAAAGACATGCTGGTAGGTTAATTGGATCCTGTCTAAATTGTCCCTAATAATATATTAATATTATTATTATACAGTATTTATATAGCGCCAGAAGGTTTGCTCAGCGCTGCACATTATAGTGGGGGGACAGTACATGAGACAATACAGTAACAAAACAAAACACAAAGGGGTTCGAGGGCCCTGCTCTTTCGAGCTTACAATCTAGGAGGGAGGGGATAGTTGTACAGGAGGAAGTGGCTGTGGGGGATGGAGTGGTAGGAGGAGTGGAGGAGATCGGCTGTTACGTGAGGGTGGGGTAGGCTTCCCTGAAGAGGTGGGTTTTCAGGGTGCGCCTAAAGGTGAGGAGGGTAGGTGACAGTCTGATGGATTGGGGTAGTGAGTTCCAGAGGATGGGGGAAGTCCTGGAGAAGTCCTGCAGTCGGGCGTGGGAGGTGGAGACCAGGGAGCTAGAAAGTAGGAGGTCTTGTGAGGAGCGAAGATTACGGGTAGGGTGGTATTTGGGTATCAGTAATATGTGTACGTATGAATGTAAGTTAGGGACCTTATATTATATGCTTCTTGAGTGTTAGAGACTGATGTGAATGTACAATATACAGTATCCCCCATAACTGAGTCCACCCCTCACATTTTTGTAAATATTTTATTATATCTTTTCATGTAACAACACTGAAGAAATGACACTTTGCTACAATGTGACGTAGTGAGTGTACAGCTTGTATAACACGTACATTTGCTGTCCCCTCAAAATAACTCAACAAACAGCCATTAGTGTCTAAACTGCTGGCAACAAAAGTAAGTACACCCCTAAGAGAAAATGTCCAAATTGGGCCCAATTAGCCATTTCCCTCCCCGGTGTCATAGTGTTACAAGGTCTCAAGTATGAATGGGGAGCAGGTGTGTTAAATTTGGTGTTATCGCTTTCACTCTCTCATACTGGTCACTGGAAGTTCAACATGGCACCTCATGGCAAATAACTCTCTGAGGATCTGGAAAAAAGAATTGTTGCTCTACATAAAGATGGCCTAGGCTATAAGAAGATTGCCAGGACCCTGAAACTGAGCTTCAGCACGGTAACCAAGACCATATAGAGGTTTAACAGGATAGGTTCCACTTAGAACAGGCCTCGCCATGGTCAACCAAGGAAGTTGAGTGCATGTACTCAGCGTCATATCCAGAGGTTGTCTTTGGGAAATTTTCTGCAGAGGTTGAAGGGGTGGGGGGGGGGGGGGGGTGAGCATGTCAGTGCTCAGACCATGTGCTGCACACTGCATCAAATTGGTCTGCGTGGCTGCCATCTTAGAAGGAAGCCTCTTCTAAAGATGATGCACAAGAAACCCGCAAACAGTTTACTGAAGACAAGCAGACTAAGGACATGGAATACTGGATCCATGTCCTGTGGTCTGATGAGACCAAGATAAACTGATTTGGTTCAGATGGAATCAATGAAGATCCCGGAGTCCCTCTTAAGGATGGTATAGGAGCTGACAGCTCAGGGTGGATGGTTAACATCAAAGTTGGTGCTGTGTCTGGAGGACCCCTTTAAAGATATGGATGCAGCCTCTTCTGGGTAAGGGAATGGTCACGTGGGGGGCTCTGGGAAATTAAAAGCTCACCAAAGAGCAACAAAAGGAAATGCCCATAGTGTAGTATGTTAACGATCCAATAAATGTATTAAATGTATTAAAATGTGGATAAAGTGCGAACATACATGCAGCAAATTCCTGCTGTGGGTACAACAATCAGCCTAAAGAAATGCTATGAGCCCTGACCAGCTGGTGTAGGTATGATGGCCGCCGGACCTCCCTGATCCGGCGGCGTAACGTCACATTGTAGCAAAGTGTCATTTCTTCAGTGTTGTCACATGAAAAGTTAGAATCAAATATTTACAAAAATGTGAGGGGTGTACTCACTTCAGTGAGATACTGTGTGTATATTTACAGACCTGTAAAGCGCTGCATAAATTGACGGCGCTATATAAGTACCAGAAATATAAATAAATAAAATAACAAAAAGTGTGAGGTCCCCCTAAAAATCCATACCAGACACTAAGGGCCGGTTCACACTATGCCTGGATCTGAATTGCACAGGAACACGCTGTGTGTTCATATGCGGGTCTATGCAGTGCGATTTCAAGCCCTTTCATTTGAACAGGCAGAAGTCACACCACACCGTGCTAAAAGTAGTGCATGCACTACTTTTTTTTTAAATGCACGGCAACCGCATTGCATGGTACTTTGTGCCAGGTGGTTTGGTGTGGGCCAGTGCGGACAAACACAATGCGTTCACGACCTGTGTTTGGGGTGTCGTTAACTTTAACTGACCTTCTGAGCAGATTGCAAGGGCATTGCGATCAGAATGCGGTGTGGGAAGCTGCATGGGAACGTGACTCTCCCGCACTGCATTCTAGTAGGAACAAGCCCTTAATCAGAACATGCAGCCTGGCTGGCCAGGAAATTAGTGGGGATTGTGCAGCCCTCACATTCCCTCAACATGGGAGGACGTGGGCCCCTTCCCCACAACCCTTGTCCAGTGGATGGGGGGGGGGGGAGTCTGTAGATGGGGACCTTGGAATTTTGAAGTCCCTGCTCCTAGATACTGCCCCCCCAATGGAATGAGTATGGGTGCAAAGTGATCCCACTCATTCACAGATAAAAAAGTTGTAACCGAGAAATTAAGATACGCAAATGTCTGACAAGTCCTTTATTTAAAATAAAATCCCTCCAAAATGTCCCTACATTGTAAATCCAT